GCAAAATCGAGGTGTATTCTTGTCCATGGAGCTCTGGCCCACTCCCACGGATGGATTGGAGCCTTTTTTGGCATGTTTCTAGACTCCTGGCACTCGCTGCATGTATTACTAGCTGTTCGATTTGTTTGTCGAGATTTGGCCACCAAACATATGAGCGTGCCAGTGACTTCATTTTTACGATTTCGGGGTGTGCTGAGTGTAGCAAATTCAGTATTGTTTTCCTCCCTCCTAGTGGAACTATTACCCTTGTACCCCATAACAGGCAGTCTTGATAACAGCTAATTTCGTTTTTACGTAGTAGATAAGGAGTATATTCGTCTGAAAATTTAATTTTCTCATCAGGCCAACCTTTCCAAGCCCACTGCAAAACTTTAGATAACACTGGGTCTTTCTTAGTCTCATTGGCAATGTCTTTGGCACAGATTAGTTTTTCTGGGATGTTCTCAAGCATCAAAACGTCATCTGAGCTTGGTGGTTCTGGCGCATGTACCTTTTGTGGCAATCTGCTAAGAGCATCTGCATTCTGAATTTTTGAACCTGGTACGTAACATAATTCATAATCATAAGCAGATAACATAAGAGCCCATCTAAGCATTCTGGGTGACAGTATCTCTGGAACACCCTTTTTCGGATTAAAAATACCCAACAATGGTTTATGGTCCGTTCTTATGCCTATTTTCCTGCCATATACATATTCGTGGAATTTTTTAATGCCCGATATTATGGCCAGTGCTTCCTTGTCGATTTGGGAGAAATTTCGTTCAGTAGATGATAGAGTACGACTATGGTACGCCACTGGATATTCACGTCCTTCATCATCACGTTGACTAAGCACACAACCTACCCCGTAAGGACTGGCATCACACGTCAAAAATAAATCTTTTTGTTCATTGTAATGCCCTAACACAGGTTCTTTCGCTAAAATTTCTTTTAGTAAATCGAAAGCTTTTTGTTCTATAAAACGCCACTGCCAGGGAACGTCTTTTCGGAGCAGTGCATGTAACGGATTCGCAATTGTTGCTTTGTCCTTTAGAAAAACATGATAAAAATTTAAAAGTCCAAGAAAAGCTTGCAACTCGGTTTTATTGGTTGGCGCAGGCGCATTAGTTAGGGCCGCGATTTTGTCTTTAGTGGGGCGTAAACCGTCTTCACTAATTTGAAAACCGAGAAACTCTATAGTTTTTGTTCGAAAAACGCACTTTTCTTTGCGCAAATGCAGTCCGTCTTCCTGGAAACGCGATAATACCGCGCGCACTTTTGAATCCAAGTCGGTTTCTGAGCGACCAACTATTAAAATGTCATCGTAATAAGGTAGTACACCAGGAATACCCGTTAATCGAGTGTCTATGAATTTTTGAAAAATTTGTGGAGCCACTGATATACCGAACTGTAAACGATTGCATTTAAAAGCTCCTTTATGCGTAATTATTGTTTGTGCTTCAGCAGCTTCGCGGTTGACACTTAACTGCAGATAAGCTTGCGCCATGTCCAGTTTTGCAAAAACTTTACCGCCCGCAAGTGTGGATAAGATACCCTGTACCGATGGCACTGAATAAGGTTCCGGATTTAACGCTAAATTCAATGTGGATTTGTAGTCACCACAAATCCTAACCTCACCGTTTTCTTTGCAAACAGTCACAATTGGGGTGCACCATTTTGGGTGCGTAATCGGCTCTAAAACCCCTTTCGCAATAAGCCTGTCCAGTTCAACTTCGATTTTATCTTTTAGCGCAAATGGAACTTTACGAGCTTTACACATAACCGGCTTTACATTTTTGTCCAACGAAAAACTTACTGGGGGACCCCGGTAAGATCCCAAATCTGTATTAAATACATCTGGGTATTCTTCTGTATAATTTATCATTGATAAAATTTGACTTACCCCAGCTATGGTTAAACCTAAACTATCAAACCAGTTTCTGCCGAGTAGACTGGCACGATTTCTTCCGTGACTATGAGAGGAAGTGTCGCTGATCTTGGACCTCTCTTCACCTCCACTTGACACTTACCCAGTGTGGGTATCACTGTGTTTTGATAGTCCCTTAAAATAACACTGGATTTATCTATTTTAGGTCGATTTTCACTAAAGATTTCATGGTAGGTTGATTTGCTTATCACTGAATAACTCGCGCCCGAGTCAACCTCCATTCTTACCTTTTGGTCATTGAGTAGCACATCTACTAAATATTTACCGGTAATGCTATCAGACGTCACGTTATTTAACGTAAATTCATAGTCACTACTTTGATAAAAAACACTCTGAGTGTTCCCAGAAACCGGCTCGGTATTGGACGTAGATTCCACGGTAGTCTGATGTACTTTGCGTTTGTAATTTTGGTTCTTCTTTTTTGCAAAACAAGCTATTTCGATGTGTCCAACTTTCCTGCAATATGTACAGGTTGATTTAATGTGTTCACAAGTTTCGGGAGAATGTTCTTTTTCGCACCGAAAACATTTCTTCCTTTCGCGATTAGCTAATTGTTTGAACTGGCCCGGTTGATTTTTACGAAAACTTACCGCGTTTACATCTGCGCTCGACTCAGTTTCTCGTAGAACTGCCAAACTTTCCACGGCCACCTCGTGTGCAAGGCACAGGTCTTGCGCGTCCTTAAGTTTTAACTTATCTGTGGCTAGCAACTTTTGCTGTAGCGATTCGTCAGTAATACCACAAACGAGTCGGTCACGTAGCATTATGTCAAGGCTAGTTCCGAAACCACAGGGTTCTGCCAATTTTCGTAATTCCTTCAGATACACAGATATTGTTTCACCAGTCTGTTGATTCCGACGATAGAACTTAAATCTGCACACAATTTCCGACGTTTTTGGAGAAAAATGCTTTTTTAATTCAACTATGATTTGGTCATAAGTTTTATCAGACACTTTGGACGGCGCGACCAAAGATCTAATAATCTCATATGTATTGGGACCACACAAACTTAAAAATGTAGCTTTTTTCCTATCAGGGTCTGTAATGTTATTTGCCAAGAAGAAAAAATCCATACGCTCGACGTATGATTCCCAACCTTTGGAGTCACCCACGTTAAACTGTTCGATGTTTCCGAATGCCGCCATCCTGCACACACTTTGCTTTATTTATCACCGGGACGAAATAATGCACTTAAACTGGCACACACACGGATCCCATCCTCGTCGCCAAATAATATGTATCGGACCGGTTGTAAATAATAAACACAGTATAGGAAATACTACCGACTTTAATGATCACTCCGAAACGTAATGCAAATAACATTATACATTAAATAGGTCATCGTCGCGTCTGTATTCCTGAGTGTTTTCACAGCTGATTGTGACGTAACCGCACTGCAGGGTTGCCAATACATCACAAAGATGTATATATGTGGTATATAGTAACTTACTTAGAAACATGCTATTTGTTTGCAACTTGGTTTTTATCTATTTTTGATAAAATGCAAATGTCGAATTTCATTGTCATGGTGGTAGTGACTTTTGTAATATGTAACCTTACATTTTCCATTATTTAGTTGACTTGATATAATTTGACTTGAGCAAGAAAACAATAGTTTTTCTGAACCTTGCATCTTTGGCCAACTTTTTCTGACCTCATCCTGAATAATGTTACCTGTAATATTGAAAGTATTTAATAATGAAACACTTTTTATTCAAAACGCTTTATGCATTACATTTCTTATAGCTTCTATTAAAGTGGTAATAAGTCATTTTAACAGTGCCGTCATCAGTTTTCCTCAATTTGCATCCTCTTGTCAAAACATATTCTGTTTTTTCTTTTTTATTTATATCCTCCAAACAATCTTCAAACTCTAAAAATATATTTTATTTTAATTTATTATTATTTAATTTATTGTACAAATATTGTACAAATCACTAAAGGTGATCTCTATATTATTTCTATTGCTACGTTGTTTTATCCTGTAGGTGTGTGCGTAAATCATTAATAAATTTAAAAGAAATTGCACATTCAAAATACTGCGAATTAAACACATTTAACTCGTAACTTATTATTTCACTCTTATTCTGGTTGTGAACTTTTTTATTAGGTATATAATAATATATTTAAGCATGATTGACTGGAGAGAATTTTTTTTACAAATTTTACACATAACAGCCATATTAAAAAAAAGAAAATCGCAGTTCCCTGATTACAATCGATTACAACACCTTTATTTAAATGGCAATGGCAATAATTTAATCGCGCTAATGCCAATGACAATGAGTGCCAGCGTTCTCAGTTGGTCTTCGTCGTAACTATTACCGTATGAAGAGATCTCGATAGCCGATCCTCTCCTATGAAAATAGTGTCATCAAACCGCGGATCAAATCACAGGTCTCTACTCTGTCGTTAGATAGTATTTTAGCATACAGATGGCGCTGAGTAAATAACTTTTGAAAATAAATTTTATTTTTGAAGATGTCGCTACGGTCTAAAATTTAACATCTTTTGACAACAATCAACAGGCTGGCTTGAATGAAAACCAGCATTCAGTTTCCTTTCTGCGTGTGATTGTGTGTTACCAAATCTTTGAAGGAGGCAAAAACGAAATATTTTTCTTGACTGAAAAGTTTTTAGCAAGTTTAAAAAAGACTGTGTAAAGTCGGTTATCGTGTTTGAACGTTTGAAAAAGTTTAGCGACAGTTGTAACGGGATTAAAATTGAGATTTGAGAGGTTGTTAAGTTATTTAAATAATGATGTTTACCATAATGATTTGATATAAATAAAAGTGCTGTAGTGCTCCCGAGAAATTATCGGAGTTTTTGCGAAATAACTGGAGATTGTCATTCAGAGAATTTTAGATCGGATTGGTAGTTCGAAAAACTATTTTTGCGTATGCAAATCAAGTATTATAAATATTATCCATTTGCAGTTGGACTGTGTAGTAAATAAAACAGTTTTTTATCGCTTTACAAATAGATGTTAAAAATAACTTTTTATTCGTAAGTGATCACGTGAATATATACACAAAGGATACTTTAATAATCGTCATCGTCGCTGGATAATCTTGGAGAATCTGAATAGCCGACCCAAATTCTTCGTTTTGGATTTTTTTTCGACCCATGGTAAGTCAACTTGTTGTTTTGTTTTTCTGTTGTTTGTGACCTTTAAAAGTTTCGTCAACACGTGTAATTTTGATAGATGGATAGTTGGCAATGTGCGAATTCCAAAATGTAGGTAGACAATGCTTTTTTAGAAACAAAACTTTCTAAATTATTCACAATCGTGTCGTTTTGGGGCGAAAATGTATTTCGGCGGATCTTAAAAATTCTGCCTTGAGATAAATCAAGAGCAAGGTACATAGACGTACTTTTGGGGGATTTGGTGGAAAACATTTTGTCGTAATTGACAGACAAACAATATTTGAAATTGATAAGGTTCTGTATTGAACTGCTGTAAAGTTATCTTTGTTACAAATCATTTTTTTCAAATTTGTATTTTGGAGTAAAATACTCGTCGGAAATAAATTATTTGTTATCTATATTTGGGCATTTTATTAGAGATGAAATATTCCGTTTTCGAGGGTATCGAAGATCTACTCCAGTTATGGAGGTTTAAAATATGGTAATACCTCTATATTTTTTATAACTGCATCAATTTCTTTGAAAATTTCAAATTAAGCTTATCTTATCCTCCACTTCAAAAGTTATATACGCTCTAGGTGCGCTTTTAGTTTTTAAGGGGTGAAAACTACCCCTTATTGAAGAAACTGGGAAAACACGGTTTTAATTATTTTATGCATTAAATCCTGTTTATTCGCATAAGGTAAATATTGTAATGTGTTCTCTAATATGAAAATTAATTATTCACAATTTTGAACCCTTAAAACGCTATAAAAACCCTTAAAAACTTTGTATAAAAATAATATGAAAAAAAGTCGTAGCATGTTGAGACATTTCAATTATGTATTTAAATACAAATAAAAATTAATACCCTAGCTATACAATAATATTTTATTTATTGGAAATTTTCAACCCTTACAACCACCCTTATGACAAAAATGAATTAAAAATGAATTAAAAAATATTTTCTATAGGTTGGAAACATTTCTTGAGTGCATTTTATTTAACGAAAATTAATTTTTTGCATATAAACTAACTTTTTATTATAATTTCAACATTTCAACTCTCACAACCAACCCCTCACAACCAAAAAACGAACAGAGATAACCCGGACTATAAAGCGCTCAACGTCAACAGAAGCGTTAAAAAAAATATTCGAAAAGACCTCAGAGCTTATAGAACAAACCAGATTCTTGAAACCATAGAGAACAGTAAGAACATGAAAGTACTGAAAACATGTAAATCCACTGGCAGCAATAAAATCATAAAGATAAAAGACGACCGTGGAACATTGTGCTCGCATAAGGAAGAGATCGTTAGAGAAATCCGAAAATTTTATGAGAAGCTGTATACTTCTACTATTCGGAAGCCCGGTATACAAATGTGGGCTCAGAGGATCTCCCTAAAATAATAACATCAGAAATTAGAGTAACCCTAAAACAAATGAAAAATGGGAAAACACCAGGAGAAGATAAAATTACTTCAGAGATGCTAAAATTGGGAGGCACTGCATTAGAAGAGGCAATGAGAGCATTACTGAATAAATGCCTATTTGAAGGACAAATACCAAAGGCATGGAAAAATGCGGAAGTTAATCTCCTCCATAAAAAAGGGGACGTTGCAAATATCGAAAACTACCGACCAATAAGCTTATTGTCACACCTTTACAAACTACTAACCTGAATAATAACAAATAGATTGACAGCTAAACTAGATGCATACCAACCAGTAGTGCAAGCAGGCTTTCGTAAGGGTTTTAGCACTATCGATCACTTGCAAACAATTCGGACAGTTATTGTAAAAACAATCAACATACCACTACATCTGGCATTTGTCGATTATCACAAATCCTTCGACAGTATCGAGAAATGCGCTTTCTTAACTGCATTGGACGATGCCAGAGTAGATTCAAGATATGCTGCCCTCCTTAAGAATATATACGATGATGCTACTTTTCACGTAAAAATATATGATTATCTGGAAACTATGAAAATAGACCTTGGCAAATGTGTGAGACAGGGCGACACCATCTCACCCAAGTTATTTACTTTGGCTTTAGAAAATGTCTTCAAAAAACTAAATTCGGCCGAAAAGGGATTAAAAATAGATGTCTTAATAATAAGATATCTTAACCATTTGCGTTTCGCAGACGACATAGTACTAATAAGCACAGATATCCATGAACTAAAATGGATAATGCTATAAAAAAAAGATTATACAAGATTTAAATCACAAATCGAATCAAATAGGATTAAAAATGAATCTAGACAAAACAAAGATATTAAGCAACAGCCTAGAAAACATCACGATAGATAACATCAATATAGAAAAGGTAGAACAATATGTATATCTAGAACATGCAATTAAAAGCGAAAAGGAAAATCAAACCCTAGAAATTAAAAGAAGGACACAATTGTCATGGGCTGATTTTGGTAAGTTGAGCTTCATTTTAAAAGACAGAAAAATCTTAATTCACTTAAAACGAAAAACCTATGACACTTGTATACTACCAGTTGCATCTTATGGATTGGAAACTATGGCAATAACAAGAAAAATGGCAGAACAATTAAGAGTAACTCAACGGGCCAGAATACACAGAATATCAAATATACCAAACGAAAACAGAACCATTAACGAATGTTGGTATGCCATTCAAAACTCGATTTTAGAGAACGTACAAGAGTCTTTGAAAACACCTACCATGTTGGCAAAAAATGAGTGGATGACACAAGAAATTCTAGATCTGATGGAAGTTCGACGGCAACACAAAAATAGAAATATTATCGAATATCGTGAAATTAATAAACGCATAAAAAGAAAAATTAAGCAAGCCAAAGAATCCTGGCTTGAGAATTTATGTAAAGAAATAGAAGACCTCCAAAAAAAGCATGACAGCTTCAACCTGCATAAGAAACTTAAATATACTGCCGGAATTAGAAAACAGAAAAATGCTCACATACTTAAAAGCGAGGACGGAAAAATTTGTGATCACGAACAACAGTGCAAAGAATGGGAGAGATACATCACTGACCTTTTTGACGATGCTTCTAGGGAAAATGCTCCAAATACTGCCTATGACAACCAGTTGGACAGAGGTCCCAATATACTGAATTCGGAAGTCGAAAAGGCAATACAGCAAGCCAAAAACAATAAAGCACCTGGACCAGATCAAATCCCTGCCGAACTACTTAAACTTTTGGATGAGGAAAGCATTGCCTGCTTAACCACTTTCTTCAACAAAATTTACAACGAAGGAAAAATACCAGATGATTGGCTAGAGTCACTGTTTATAACATTACCAAAGAAAAGCAGGCCCACCAAATGCAGCGATTTTAGACTAATCAGTTTGATGAGTCACACACTGAAGATACTCTTACGAATTATACAAAACTGAGTATTCCTTCTATGCGAAAGTAAGATGGGTGATAAGCATTTTGGATTTAGAAACGGTCTAGGAACTAGAGAGGCACTATTCTGTATACGCGTTCTATTACAAAAAAGTTGTGAATTCCGAAAGAATGTTTATGTTTGTTTCATCGATTTCGAGAAGGCGTTCGACAGAGTCCAACACAATACACTTTTCGACTGCCTACGGGCAGCAGGACTTGACCACTATGATATAAGACTGCTGAAATACTTATATTACAATCAAGTAGCCTCTATCCAAATTGGAGACAGTCCCACTGAAAAAATATCCATCAAACGTGGAGTACGGCAGGGTTGTGTTTTGTCACCCACTCTTTTTAATCTGTACTCTGAAGAAATCTTTAAGAAGGCTTTGGATGACAGACAAGAGGGAGTAAGACTAGGTGGAGAAGTAATCAACAATATTAGATACGCTGACGATACAGCCATTCTTGCAGAAAGTTTACAAGATCTCCAAACATTACTAAATCTAGTCAGTGAAGCAAGTTATCGGAGAGGCCTAAAAATCAACATTTCAAAGACAAAGTGGATGGCAGTTGGAAAGATCCATATAGATCAAGGTCTGCTTTCTCTTAATGGAGAAGAGATAGAAAGGGTAAATCATTTCAAATGCCTTGGCAGCTGGTTAAATGTAAATTGTGACTCTGATGAAGAGATAATATCCAGGATCGAAATATCACGTAAGGCTTTTATGACCTGGAAACCAGTTTTATGCAACAGAAACCTGTCAATGAACATTCGTAAGAAGGTCCTGAAATGTTATGTGTGGTCGATTTTATTGTATGGCTGTGAGACATGGACGTTAAAAACCACAATGCTAAACAAGTTAGAAGCATTCGAAATGTGGTGCTATAGACGAATCCTAAAGATATCGTGGGTTTCGCACACTTCCAATGAAGATGTTCTTCAAATGATCAACTCAGAACGTCTGCTCATAAACATCATAAAGAGGAGAAAAACAGAATACTTCGGCCATATAATTAGAGGACCCAAATACCATTTATCCTTTGCGTTGATTAGAGGACCCAAATACCGCCTTATAATACAAGGAAAAGTGGAAGGAAAGAGATGGATTGGTCGAAAGAAACTTTCATGGCTGCGTAATATTAGACAATGGTGTGGTTTCACAGTAGAAGAATTATTTTGCGCAGCAGCCGACAGAGAAAGGTTTCAGGAAATTGTAAGCATGATGACGGCCAACGTCTGAATACGGACACGGCACCCAAAGAAGAAGAAGACGTCAATGGGTCATTCAGGACATTCTGAAGACCTCGAGAAACAAAAAGAAGCGTGGGAAGACCTAAAAATAGATGGATAGACGATATAACAGCTGTAGCTGGAAAACAGTGGATGAGAATTGCAAAAAATAGGGAAGCGTGGAAGCAACTGGAGGAGGCCTATGTCCAACAATGGATAAATGAAGGCTGAAGAAGAAGAAGATGATCCAAAGCGTATCGGGAAAACGCGCCTTTAAATCTACAACTTCTTTCCTTAAGTTCCGTAAAATGACAAAAGTCTATCTATCTGATCAGTGGAAGAGTTTCTTAACGAATAACTAAGAAATAGTACGTTTAGGT